TAACAAAGTAAAGAACAAGAACCACGTGATCCTATGAATTGATGCAGAAAAGTCCTTTGGAAAAAAATCCAACGTCTCTTCCTGGCTAAAATATTCAACAAAGTAGGAAAAGCAGGGAATTTTCTCAATATGATGAAAAGTATATACGTAAAACCAAGAACTAGTATCATTCGCAATGGATAAAGACTAAAGGCATTCCCCTTGCAAAAGGGACGAAATAAAGATTCCCACTATCATCACTCTTCTTCAATATTGTAATGAGAATACTTGTTAAGGCAATAAGGTAAGAAAATAAGAGGCATCCAAATCTCCAAAGAGATGGTAAAATTGTCACTATATGCAGATGGTATGATAGTGTACACGGAAAACCCAAAGGCTCAGCAAAAACCTGTGAGACATTGTAGATCAATTTAGTGGAGTGGCAGGATATGAGAGAAATACACAAATATCAGTAGAATTTCTCTAAACATGGGAAAGGAAACTAAGAAAGTAATACCATGTATAATAGCCAACCACAAGATGAATAAACCTTACTAGAGACACAAAAGACTTTTACAAGAAAACTACAAAACACTACAGTGAGAAATTATAAGAGACCTAACTAAATTGAAAAATATTCCCTGTCATGGAGAGGAAGACTCAACATAGTAAAAAGAACAATCCTATCAACAACAATCCACATGTTCAAAGAAATCCTAATATAGATACCACATTCATTCTGCAAATAGATAGAAAAGGCATGTTTATTGGGAAAGAAAAGAGACCTGAATAAGCAAAGCTCTTCTGAAATATAAAAATGAAGCAGGAAGCATAATACTCTTTAATCTCTAAACCTACCACACAGCTGTAGTAACCAAAACGGTATAGTAATGGTACAATTACAGACACATAAATCACTGTAATAGAATCTAGAACCCAGGAATCAACCCATTTACCTATGGACAATGGGTATTCGATGGGGAAACAAAACCTATCAAATGGGGACGTGACAATTTCTTCGATAAATTATTCTTGCAAAACTTGACATCTACCTACCTGGAGAAATCTGAAGCAGGATCCACATCTCACACCATATACAAAAATCAATTCAAGATGGACCGGCAAGCTAGGGGTAAAATCCCTATATGGGTCATAAGGGACAAAATGGGATCAAACTTAGAAGTCCTAGTCTATAGCATAAATGCTGTTGTGGTAGTAGTTATGTGTCATCAAGTTGCCTGCGACTCATAGTGACCCTATGTACAACAGCCCTAAACCCTGCTCTATCACACGCCAATATTATTGTCTCTGACACACCTATCCCCATTACCCCAATCACTGAATCAATCCACCTTATAGAGGATTTTCCTCTCTTGCACTGTCCCTCTACCCTCTCATACACGACGTCCCTCTCTAAGGACGGATCTCGCCTTGCAACATGTCCAATATATGCCAGACGAAGTTTCAGAATTCTTGCCTCCAAGGAGCAGCCTGGATTCACCCTCTCCAGAATGTACTTGTTTGTTCTCCTAGCAGTCCATGGTATATTCAGTACTCTGCTCCAGGACCAAAGCTTAAAGGTATCAATTCTCCTTCTATTCTCCCTAGTCATTGTCCAGCTTTCTGATGCATAACAAGTAATTGCAAAAACCATGGCCTGGATCAGGTGCACTTAGGTTTCCAGACCGACATCATTGCTCTTCAGTACTTTGGAGAGGTCTCTGAGAGCAGACTTGCCCATTGCAATTTGTCTTTTAATTTCATGGCTGCTAGTACCAACGGTGTTGATTGTAGAGCCAAGCAAACTGAAGCTGTGAACAATCTCAATCTCTTCACCATCTATCATGATGCTGCCAATTGGCCCAGTGGTGAGAATCTTTGTTTTCTTAATGTTGAGCTTCAATCCATATAGAAGGCTGCAGTCCTTGACTTTCTGCAGCAAATGCTTAAGATCTTTCTCAGTTTCAGCAAGTAAGGTTGAGCCATCTGCATAACACAGATTGTTGATGAGTAAACCTCCAATCCTGATGCCACATTTCTCCTCATAGAGCCCAGTATCCCGGATAATCTGTTCCACATATAGATTGAAAAGATATGGAAGACACATCCTTGGTACACACCCTGCACAATTTTGAACCTTGTGGTGTTTCCTTTCTTTATCCTGATGACTGCCTCCTGGTCCAAGTATAAGTTTCACAAAAGCACAATCAAATGTTCTCTGATTCCCATTCTTCTCAGAGTCAGCCACAGTTTGTTGTGATCCACATAGTCAAATGTCTTTGTATAGTCAATGAGACTCAGATAGACATCCCTCTGGTATGCTCTGCTTTTATCCAAGATCCATCTGATATTAGCTATAATATTCCTAGTACCATGATCTCTTCTAAATCCAGCCTGCACTTCAGGCAGTTCTCTGCTGTTCCAGTCATTTTTGGATAATCTTCAGCAGAGTCTTGCTTGCATGTGATATCAATGATACTGTTTGATAATTTCCGCACTCTGTCAGATCACCTTTCTTTGGAATGGAGACACATATAGATCTTGTCCAGTCAGTTGGCCAGGTGGTTGTCCTCCAGATTTCTTGGCACAACTTGGTGAGCACATCCAGGGCAGCATCTGTTTGTTCAAATATGTCAATTGGTATTCCATCAATTCCTGGGGCCTTGTTTTTTTGTCAACTCTTTCAGAGCAGCTTGAACTTCTTCCTTCATCACCATAGGCTCTTGTTCATATATTGTTTCATTAAATTCATCTGTGCCTATCAATTCCTTTTGGTACAATAACTCTGTATACTCTTTCCATCTTCTTTTAATACTTCCTGGATCATTTAATAGTCTGCCCATAGCATCCTTAAATATTACAACTAGAGGTTTGAGTTTTTTCTTCATTTCCTTCAGCTTAAGAAATGCTGAGCGAGTTCCGGCCTTTTGATTTTCTGACTCCAGATCCTTGCACATTTCATCGTAATACTTTATTTTGTCTTTCCATGCTGCCCTTTGGAATCTTCTGTTCAACTCCTTAATATCTTGATTTCTTCCTTTTACTTTGGCTTTTTGGCCTTCTAGTGCAATATTCAGAGTTTCTTCTGCATCTATCTATTCCTCCTCTGTCTTTGTAATGACCTTTTGTATTCTTCCTGGATGATATTCTTAATATCCTCCGACAGCTCATCCTGTTTACTCATTAATATCCAAGGCCTCAAACCTGTTTCTAAGGTGGTTTTGAAATTCAGGTTGGATAGAGTCAAGGTCAAATTTTGGTTCCCATGGACTTGATTTTATTTTCCTCAGCTTCTTGCATATATGGCCAGAAATGCAACCAGGAGAGGATGAAAATGATGAATTGAACTTTTAAAAAAGCATATGTGTATCAAAATCTTTTTGCAATAGGGCAAAAAGAAAGCCTACAGGATGAGGGAAAAAACTTTTGGCAGTAACTTCTCAGACAAGGGTCTTATAACGGAAGTTTACAGAATACTACAAGGGCTCCACAAGAAAAAGACTAGTAACCCAATAACAAAATGGGCAAAAGACATGAAAAGACTTCACAAAGGAAGACATTAGGATAGTCAACAGATACATGAAGAAATGTTCAAAATCACTGGCTATCAGTGAGATGCAAATCAAAACAAGAGACACCATCTCACCCCAGATTAATAACAGAGTTTATCAGGACAGTAAACAGTAAGTGCTGGAGAGGATATGGAGAGATTGGAACTCTCATGCACTGCTGGTAGGATTATAAAATGGTACAACTACTTGGAAGATATTTTAACTGTCTTCAAAATGCTGGAATATACCCCAAGGAAATCAGAACTGAGATACAAATTGAGTTATGTTTAACTATGTCTTAGCAGTGTTACTCATAATAACAAGAACGTGAAAACAGCTCACATGCCCACCAACAAACGAATGGATTGAGAAATTGTGGTACATTCACACAATAGAATATCATGAAGCACTAAGGAACAACAATTTCATAAAATACTACATAACATAGTAGTGTCCAGAAAGCATTACACTGGGTGAACTATCTTAGTTTCATTAGGGCAAAATCTGTATAACGCCACTACTGTGAAAACTGAAAAGTAACTGAGTAAAATGTGTATAAACGTTTTAAAGGGAAAAGGGGAAGGGGGTAGGTGAGGGGAAAAGTGAAGGAACAGGAAGGTTTAACAAAAATAGGGTGATAATAGGCATGGGCCAATTGTAATTAATTGTATAAAATGCAATGTATAGAATGATTGCATAAAACACAATGTACATGAACGAAACACAAACTATATGAATAATGTTTTGCAAACCAATAAAAATAAGTAAATAAAACCCAACAACAACAACAAAGATGACCTGACACCACTATTACCACACTGGCCTTGAGCCGGATGGAGATTATAAGCAGAAGTCTCATCCACTTCCTAAATAACATGCTTCCGGAAACTCTATGAACTCTGATAAATGTTGATAGTTGTAGAGGAACTTCAGGCCTTTTGTTGTAGGGTCGCTATGAGTCGTGCAGACTCGAAGGCAATCAACAACAACAACAATTACAACAGGATAAGGCAAGCTTCAGATCTGAGTTATAGTCGACTTGATGGCACTTAAAAACAACAATAACAACATCAGTTGCTGTTCATTTTTCTTTCCTAGGCTATGTGCCTACTTTTTCCACCCATGATACACTAACTAGAGGAAGGGTACCGCTGCGGCTGATCTGAGGTTGGAGCCGTTCCAGTCCTCCAATCGCGGGCGGCGCTGTGGAATTCTTGGCACCACCAGCCCAGCCAAGGCGTCGCTCTTTTCAGGGGGACGTCGCTCCCTGCCACGCCCCTCCTACGGCGGCGCGGTTTGCAGAAGTGTTTCTAGGAGACAGAGCGGGCTGGGTGCGCCTGCGCAGTGCGCCCTGGTCTGGGCTGTCTGAAGGGTGGAGGTACTGGCCGGCCAGCTGAGGGAGTCTGGTCTCTGTCTCCCGGCTTTTCTCTGCTCCGGGGCGCCGGTGAGGCTGGCAGAGATCTCCTCAGAATGGAGCACATCCGTACGACCAAGGTACTTAAGGCACGAGAGAACTGATGTAGAGAGTCACCAAGGCTCGGCCACCCGACCGGGGATAAAGTGGCCGGGCGGGGCCGCTTCCCGGCGGGATCCCGGGCGAGCCGGGTCCGGGAAGGGAGGCCCGGCGGGATGGGGTGTGTAGGCGCGAGTGGGCGCTCAGGCTGCCGTGTTCATCCAAGTCGAGCTCCGCGGAAACCGCTGGAGTCGAGATGCCGACACTCTGAGCTGCTCAGGAGGGTCTGGCGCCGCCCGGGCAGCGCTCCACTTTCCCCAGCACTTTCGGGGCGGAGGCCTACATCTCGGCTTCCAGTGGGTGGCCACCTCCGGTCCCCGAAAACCAGTCCTGATAAGGCGATTCGGTTTATGCTTCGCTGTCCTGGGTCACGGGCTCCTGGTGCAAGTTTTAGAGCAGTACCCTGAACCGTGGCCACTGTCTTGTCTCGGTCTCCATTTGTTTCTTTGAGCTCTATTTGGCCTTTTAAGGAGCACGTTGTGGGTGAGGTTAAATCACTCGGCTTGTAAGCAGAAAAGTCAGCGGCTGGAAACCACCAGCAGCTGCTGGGCGGAGGGAAGGTGTGACAGTGGGTTTCCGCATGTATTTGCAGCCTTAGGACTTCTCTGGAGCAGAACTCTGAGGTTCTCAGTAAGTCAGAGGCGATCCGATGGCAGAGTTTTTGGGTGTTTTGTTGTTCTTGCTTTTTTTTTTTTTAAATGCTCGGACGCTGACAAGTCGAAGGTTGCTTTTGGAGTGGCTTGGAGGAGAGAGATGTGTCAGTCAGTCGGCTTTCCAAAGCCTAGGAGACTCTGGGCAGCTGTCTTATTGCTACCCTGAAAGGCAAAGTCGAACTGCTGCTGGGTTGTAAGGCTTTAGTGTCTTTCTTTTGTGGCGTCCCACTGGTGTGTTCTGAACGCCAGCCATGGTGCCACCAGGGCTCCTTGCTTTAAGTGCCAGGAATTAGTTTAAGGGGGTTTGTGGAAAACGCAAAAAAAAGTTATCAGATATTTTTGTTTGTTTGTTTCCCTTCAAGGCACAAGTATATTTTTCTCATTTCAAAAAATCTTAGGGTCTTGCCAGCATCTAAAGATATTTCTAAATTTTTTTTATTGTGTGTCACTCATGTACATTTTTTAGCCCCCCTTCCTCCACCCACCAAACTCTTGTACCCTGTGATTTCCCCTCCTTCCCTCCTACAACTTCCCTGCCCCCTCTGCTTCCCTTTTTGTCAATCCATACACATTTCCCTGGTTATCCTTCTGTTTTTTCAATAATGGCCTTAGTTCATCCAGCGTCATGCTCCCTAACCTCTCTCGTGCTACACAGTATTGTTCAAAATTGCTGCTCCTGAGTGCTGCATAATATTCCATCATGTGAATGTGCCGTAGTTTTCTCAATCTAGTTTGTTGATGGACATTTGGGCTGTTTGTGTGTTCTTGTTGTTGATTATCACCTAATGGTCCAACAACAGTTGGAATTGTTTTTAAAAAGAATTTGTTAAATCCTGTGCTTAGTTTTTGTGTGAAAGACATGAGATTTTATTTGATAAATTACCAAATATTCCAGTAATGTTTTTAAAAAATAAAACTTGGAAATGACAACAAAAATGTTACCAAATTACATATGCACAACAGCTAAGCTAAACAGCTTTGGGAAGGAGGAAAATAGATTGAGAGCTGAACAATGGAATCTCGTGATTCTAAGGTCATTTGGAACTCAACAAAAGGAGCCTCAGTGACGCAGCATTTAAAGAACTAATCAGCTAATCACAAAGTTGGTGGTTTGAACTCTGTAGGAAAAAACCTTTGCTTCTGTAAAGATTGTACAGTCTTGGGAAAACCCTATGCAAAGTTCAACTCTCTCCTTAGGTAGGTATGAGTCAGAATTGACTTGGTACATGAATAAAATCAGCCTAACTTTCCTGTTATGCTGAAGCCATCAATCAGTTACTACTCATTTCGCAGTTACCATTCATTTATGGAAGCAGCAGATAAAAGTTATCTTTATATGTTCCAAAGAGAGTTGCCAGTAAGTGTTATACAAATCTTTTATGATATGCACAGAGTTTTTTAGAACTCATTTTGACACAGAACAAAATTGACAGTGTTAAGAATGGACTCCTATTCAAAGAACAGAATTCACCTGGAACTCTAGAATTCAAGTTGGTGGCATTTAAAGTTTGAAAACAGAAGGGTGATTAATAACTAAATCAATGGATGGGGAAACGTGGAAAAGAAGGGCATCAGATCAGATCTTCCACTGGTTAACAGATTAACAGGAAAGTAGTATATGTTTAATGATTGTTTATATTATTTATGTATTTGAAAAGTAGTTGTTGCTATGTTGTTGAGTAATGGTATATTTTTGGTTGCATGTTCGATCAGTCTCCGATTGTAAAAGTTGGTAAAAATCTTCTATCTCCTCTTCCTTGGCTCTGGTTTTTGGTGCATATATTTGAATGGTAGTGGTTTTCACTGGACTTCCTTGTATGCGTATAGATATTATCCTGTCACTGACAATATTGTACTTCAAGACGGATCTAGCAATGACTTTTTAAACTATGAAAGCAACTCTATTTTTCCTCACTTTTTCATCTCCAGAGTAATATATCATATGGTCCTCTGACT